TCAAGAAGCGTTTGGACAATGCTCTCATGCACATGTGTTTTTTGGGGATATTCTGTGCAAGGCCAAGATTTGGACTCAGTAATCCTTGTGATCCATTCCAACTCTGAATATTCTGTGATTCTATGAATTGGAAGGAGTTTCAGTATACCTCCAGGGAATTAATCATCTGAGTAGATTTTTTTTCAGTGATATAAAGCATTTGCTCTGCTAAGGATTAATTGCAGTGCTGATTTCAGAGGTTAAATAGTGTATAACTGAAGTTTTTAGTACATCTTTCTTGCTTCTTATCAGCAAAGATAAGCAAGCTTGCAACACTCACCTGTAAGCACGTCCACAGTTCCACTAACCCTATTTTATATTTAAAAGTATACATTTTTGAGGACTGTTAAGGCAGAATAAACTTCAGAAAACTGAAAAAACCTTTAAAAATGTTAAGTGAGAATTTAATTTCACCGTATGATTTATTTTGAAAAAGATTTCTTTGTCAAAATTTTTGTAGAATGATATAGGAGTTATAGCTTAATTTACCTTTAGAACATTTCTTCATATCTAAGTTCTTCTGACGTATCCACTATATATACACATTTGTTATGTAGAATGCCATTAGGAAAATCTGTATCTTTAGTACATGTGGTCATTTTAGAACATTTAAATGCAAAGTGACTTCATTTTTTTATCACATGTTTAACAGGAATTTGAAGTGATATTCGTGTTCCTCTTGTAAAAAGAAATTGCTATGTATTATGGGTGCATGTATATAAACTCACTGCAGCTCACTACAGAAAATAATTTCTGCAACCCTTTGCTTTCTGCAAAACATCCTATTCCATTTCTTATTGTAGTGGTTTAACCCCAGCCAACAGCCAAGAACCACACAGCTTCTCACTCACTCCCCCACCAACGGGATGGGGGAGCGAATTAGAAGGGTAAAAGCTACAAAAACTCATGGGTTGAGATAAAGACAGTTTAATAGAGAAAGCAAAAGCTGCACACACAAGCATAGCAAAACAATGAATTAATTCACTGCTTCCCGAAGACAGGAGGTGTTTAGCCATCTCCAGGAGAGCAGGGCCCATCACGCATAACGGTTCATTGGGAAGACAGACGCCATCACTCCAGATGTCCACCCTTCCTCCTTCTTCCTCCCACCTTATATACTGAGCATGATGTCATATGGTGTGGAATATCCCTTTGGTCAGTCTGAGTCACCTGTCCCAGCTGTGTCTCCTCCCAATCTCCCATGCATCCCCAACTTCCTTGCCAGCGTGGCAGTATGGAAAGCAGCAAAGGCCTTGACTCTGTGTAAGCTCTGCTCAAACAAAACAAAAACATCTCTGCCTTATCAACTCTGTGTTCTGCACAAAACCCAAACATAGCCTCATACTAGCCTCTGTGAAGAAAGTCTACTTCAGCTCAAACCAGCACACTTATGAATCCTGATTTCATTAAATTTTCTTTTTATCAGTTATTTCTGTTAAAAGCCTTATGTTAATTTTATTTTCTCTGTGCTTTTGTTTGCTTTCTGAGGGCTAAATCCATTAAAGATTTAGTAGCTGAGTGGTGCAAAGCTTGATTAGAAATGAAAAATTAGGCTCTATGCCCTAAAGTGGAATCATAAGTGATGCAGTAGAAGTAGGTGTCTTGGGTTGACACCCATGACTGTGTATTGAGCAGAAAACTACTCTGCTTAACTGATAATTAAAGATTTATGATAAACTTCACCCTTTTCTGAAGCTTTGCCTCAGAGCAGCTGTTAAGATTCTTCAATTTCTCAAGTTTCAGGTTCCCTTCTTGAAGTCTGTATCTAGTCCTGGAAAGACTGGAACAATCTTTTTAACTCTAGCTGCAAAGTGGTTGTCTGTCTACTCTAAACATGGGGCTATTATGCAGTCACTACTCCAGGAAGTGGGAAGCATGGATTCAACCTTTTATTTAGCCTATTGTTCAAACCACTAGTGTACCAATATAATACTCAAATCACTACATTTAAGACTGATGTAAGGGGCCATACTCACACTGTCTTTAGAAATTTGTTTGCTTCTGCACCTTCCCTGAGTAGGAGGAGAAAGTTACCATGACTGTAGAGATTTGTGTACTGCTCTGAAGATGTTTTGGATAGGCTTTTTCTGTGTTCTCTAGGATCTTTGAGTGAAAGTTAAAAAGAATGCTATGAAGATATTCAAATTTACTGCTCACTTTTCAATTAGAAAATCTGATAACTGAAACAATGATAATTTATATGAAGCATGAAGGGAGAGCCATTCATCTGCTCAGAAAAATCAGTGTATTTGGGTTTAAATTATGTAAGAATAAGAGCAGCAGATGGTATTTACTTAAAGGAACCTCTTTGAAGATGGAAGGTGTTTTTTACTGAAACTAAAAAAATTGAAATGGTACAGAGGCTGCAAGAAAATTCTGTTATAAAACAGTGGGATTTGTGGTGGATCTTAATGCTTTGAATGGAGAAAGAATATTCACCAATATACTGCTGAAATAATGAGGTTGTTTTTAGGTGAAAACTAATTATATTGATATTATTGCTATCCACAGAATATCAACAACACTAGGTATCAATAAATGGGGCGTGCACCCAATCATTTCTCTTTCATTTAAAATTAGCTTAGTGACATAAGATGTTAAGGTGGCATAAAATGGAAAAGATAAAGGAACTTTGTTTTTCTACTTACTGTCTTTTAAAACTAGTCTTCCATTTCAGTGGAAAACAGATTTGATTGAACAGGTGATGTTTGAGACATCTGGGAAAGTATTACAAACATCATCTTAAGAACAAGAAGGCAAAGCTGATGTATCCTAACAGACAGAGAAGTGTGTAGGAGAGAAAGGCTGAAGAGCTATTGAAGAAGGCTAAAGCATGTTATGAAAAATCCACTAGAAGAAAGGCAAGAGAAAGCAATTCAGGAATAAAGCAAAATTCTTGAGACAGGATAGTTAAAAAAGCCCCAACACTTGGAAGATGTTGAAGTAGAAGAAAAGTCATAGTGCTGCTTCTTTCAATTGACTATATGCAGTTTGATCACCAGGCACGAAGAGCAATTGCAATGATAAGAACACTTTTCTATTAGCCTTTAACTTAAACCTACAGATCTCCTGATGCAAGACTTCATTTTGAAACTGACTTTGAAAGTGCAAGCTCTGTATGTATCACTGCTACTTTGAGACTAGTCATTAAAGAATTACTTAGAATATATGTTGACTGAAACTGTATGGAAGTATTCATGAGTTGTAGCTGAGACCTAAAGATATCCAGGAAGAAAAGCTGGCTTTTTTTTTTCAGGAAATTCAGCTATGTTGCTGCATCTCCCTTGCAATCTACCATAGATTTCTGAAATGATTTTATACTATTGCAGTTGGTGGTAATTGCTTCAGTGTGTCTAGCATGTTGCATACTTAAGAGAAAAATCACACATATAAGCAGCATAGCTGTGCTGGCAAGCCTGCACATGAACATGGTCTACACCAGCAGGACATATTAGCAGTATAAACTGCATTATTTCCTCTGTAGCTGTTAGGGGAAGGGAGAGCCCATTATTGCTTCTGAAACAGACCGATCTTTCTTTCACTCCCATTTCTTTACCCTTTTAGGGAAGCTTCTTGATTAACATGAAACAAAAAGATAAGCTGTGTTCTACCAAAGTATGTATGTTTCCTGAGGTATTTGAAGTAGTGTCGGGTATGTAAACATCTGTTTGAAAAAGTTTGATTCCTTCTGAAAGAAGGGCATATAAAACCTCTGGAGACTTAAACCATTGCTTAAGACCATGTGATGCTTGCTTTCTGTTCCTTAATGTAGATATTGTGCACTGCTATTAGAGAACAGCAATTTCATTTCTCTTCTTTACAAGAACTGAGCTGATTGAAAACCCTGCTTTTTACCCTTGCAGACAGATATTGCATAAATTTACAAAAATATTTATTTTTACTCTTTAAATGATAACAGTGACACATGCTGAAAAACTGGCAGACTGGGAAAAGAAAGCAATATCCAAGTGGGTGATAAGTCATCAGGTTGCCCCATGGCATAGAAAGAGTTACTTTAACTTGCTTGGCTCGGCTTCAACATTGTAGTGGTTTAACCCCAGCCAGCAGCCAAGAACCACACAGC